GGAAAGAGAAGTAATGAATTTATCTTCCCATGTATGGTTTGAATCAGTTGGTACTTGGCAGTGTATAAAGTAACTCGGGGTTTCCTAATAAGAAAAATGAAAAAGTTAGAAGCATAATTACGTCTTCAAATTTGTTTTCGGAAGAAAACTGTTTTGTAAAATTGTTTATATAATTAATACGATTCACATTTTCATCAAAAAAAAAATAATAATTGCGTCTTCATGAAGCATCTTAACTAACATAGCATCTTAATTGGGTTCTGCGGAGATTTCTGCTTAACAGTAGCCCAAGTCTGAGGTCTAATAGCCACTGCAAATCAACATCAGCCAACACCAGGGGCACATTCCGAGGGAGGGCACATAATTTCCATCAACATTACAATAGAAAGCTCTTTTTTCGTCTCTCCAAATATTACAATGCAAAAATTAGCAAGGATTGTTTTTTTATGCAGGAACCTTGAATATTTCAACCAAAAAATGCCGTGATTGATAGGTCCATTGCTACATTCCAATTTAATTATAAAAAAAAGGATGATATACAATACAGAGGGTAAGAAAGAATAACATACCTCGATAAACAGTCTTAATTACTAATCTATTAGGTTGGTTCTTCAAATCACTACCAAAACAGACAAAAAAAATCGAATTTTCTTCACCTATGTCCCCTGCTGCTGCTGCTCATCATCCCCAACACTCAACAACCTAGTCACCATCAATCTGAGTCCCAAAAACAGGAATTTCAGTACTACCGTTTAGTTTCCTACGGGTATAAACCGATAAACCATCAGGCTGAATCTCTCTACTACTACCAACTTGAACCTCTGATGTCGATGATACATCTTGAACGGCAAATGCTTCGGGATATTGCAAAGCCGTGAATCCTGTTCTTATTCTGTTGCCATCCCAGATTCCATAGCTTGCAATCGGGACATTCTGAAGGTCTTGCCTGATGCTTTCATGCAGATGATGCGTATTCCTCTCGTTCTCGTGAGAGGTAACTATTGTACCGAACAGTCTGAGGTCTTCGTTTTTGTAAGGTCTCTCAGTATCAGACAAACTACGAGAATGCCTTCTGGTATTAACAGTTCTGCTCTCTTTCTGGGACAGTCTCCGTTGCTTGGCACTTGTACTGTTACTCGTTAAACTACTGCACCTATTGAGTGAGAAATCTTCACCTGTACCCAGAGTGGTTGTGACGATAACATCTGATTTTGACCTTTTATTCAAGCTTGGGTCCTGCATAAATGAGCTCCATGGTATCCGAGAAGCCTCAGTGGTGTTACTGACATGAACATCCTGTAGACTGTTTTGCCCATAAAACTGATGCTTCTCGCCAAAACTAAGATGGGCATTCGAAAAAAAGCGTGCATCCAAGTTATGTCTTTCCATAACGTGTACATCAAAAGCATTAGGAGATCCGGTTTCGGAGTGGCTACTGGAGTTTTCTTGTGGCAGATGGACCCCCTCCACGCACATCTCTATTGGAACATGGTGAAGACACTCAGGCAAACTGAAACCAGACGAAGATGCGGCTTCAGCTGGAATGAGAGGGGGATCTCTTGTTCCATTTGCAGTTTCCTTCACACTATCTGAATATTCTCTCAATCTTTCAGTAAAGCTTTTCAGAATAAGATTAGCCAGAACGGTAGCATTAGAAGATGGGGGTTGAGGAGATACAACTGCCGAAACCAAGACACCTTGATTTGTTTCAGTACACAGCAACTGATCGCTTTCGGTTTTCTCAACAGCTGGACATTGACTCTCCACAGTCTTAGGAACTGAATCTGAACAATCCATGTGAACTGGTGATGCATTAGTGTCCACAACTTCAACGCCATCTTTCCAACCCAAACATGCTGACCCATTCTCTTGTTCTGATCTGTCAAGGTCAGATTTCAATTTAACTGAACCTAAATGATCTGCTCCATCACGATTTACGTTAAAAGGCAAATTTGGCAAGTTCACGTCCATCTTGGCACAAAGATCATCATTGCACATAACAGAGCTACCTTCCAAAGCACAAGGAACTTCCATTTCGCTTCCACCACCCTCGTTGCTGTTATCCACACTTGCAGATGTGCTTGCATTTCCAGATTGCAGCTGTATTAATTCTAACCCGAGGCATTTCCGAACTTTGCTAAAGAAAACCTTGCACTGATCTTGAGATCTTGTCCCAATGCATTGTGATATCATTGCGAAATTCTTACCATAAAGCAAGAAACCCTGCATAAAAGCAGACCTCTCTTCATCCGTCCAATGAACAGGGCTTGTTTCCTCAAAACTTTCTTCCGAGCAAGTGTCATCTTCATCACTGCTGTTATCACAGTGCGTAGCATGAGATAGCTGAGATATTTTAAGAGTAGAATCGAACTTTGGATACTTCCTACACCTCTCTTCAGGATCAGCAGAACTTCTTAGGCAAGAACTTATCAGCCCTGTTGACAAAGAACCATCACCACCTGATAAACCATCTGCAGAAATGGTTTGTTTATCATGAAGATCAAAATTATAAAAGCAGCCTTCAGAGCTATTATCACTGTGATGCAAACATCTAGAACCACCAGGAGTGATTCTTTTGGAAGACATCTGCCTGGTAGAGGTAACCTTGCTTGCATTACCCGCTATCACTGAGACAGCACCTAAGATATCGAGAGAGGCAGCACCCATTTCTCGTTTCCATTTTTTCCGTGGAGCCAACATAAAGTTGCACTTCCGTTCCTTACCATTGGCAAGCTTCTTTTTTATTTTCACAAAACAATCAGATTTGTGATTTTTGTAGTAGAAATCGATACAGTCTGCAGTTGTCTTTTGCTCAAGATGTGAAGCAATTTTCCTGAAATCCTTTCCATACATAGCTAGCTTATCCAGGAAAATCTCCCTCTCCTCTGAGCCCCAAGGATTGATCATCGCTCTTTCCTTCTCAACAGCACATGGATCTTCAATCAATCCATTGCTAGAGATAAATCTTGAGATCACCTTCTCTTTCTCACCCAAAATCATCGCAGGCATCCTCAAAATATCTCTACACCGCTTATGCTGGAAACCCAGAAGCAGCTTTCCCATGAAATTTAAAAATTCTGCTGTAGGGGGCGGACTCTCTCTTCCTGGAGCTGCACATAGTAAAGAATTATAGCAATCAAATTCAATCGAAAACATGCAGCTCATAAACCAGGAATCAGGTGGGTAAAGAACATCAGACATCATATGAAAAAGACTCAAATCAATCTGCATCTTTTTCCCTTTCGTTTTTTATTTTCAAATTGAACTTTCCTACAAGCAATATAAGTAGAATAGACTAAGTAAGCTTCAAGGTCAAGAAAGACACTGATTATGTATCAACACACTGTAGCAGAAAGCAAATTTCACGACAAGGCAAATTCTAAAAATGACCAAAAACTGTTACAAGAAATACACGAGTAAAAACGGTACAACACGTCCATGGAAGAACGGAATTCAGATTCAAAGACCAAATAAGAAAACCACAACTAAAAAGTGTCTTCTGGAAACGAGTACCAAGTCAGATTTTGCTTTCAATCTGACGGGACAGGACAGAGATCCTATTACTGTGCTAGTTAAGGAACACGCCAAGAATTTGGCAGCTGAGCCAAACAACAATCACATCATTTCAACATATCAATGATTCGGCAGAGTACTGTAACTGTTCTCTCTCTCCATAATCCATGTCCCAATGAAGAAAAACTTTGAAGACCTTACCTTAAGTCTGTGAGATGTATTTACCTTGGGAAAAAAAGGATAAATCCCACAGACAGATGAAACAATCAGGGAGAAAATGAAATAACAGATAAGGAAAAAGTAGAGAGAAAAATGAATGAGAACGTTTACCAGGAGAATAGAACTTCAGGCGTACAGACTGCGGAAGCTTCTGAATTGCACCATTTTTTATATAAAGGTTTGATTCACATTTCTTGTGAGACTTCGCATTGTATTTTGAAATAGCAAGCTGATGCATGTCCCTCTTCCATGAGAGCTGAAAAGCTTTAAACTGAAGGACCAAAATTTTCTCCTTAACCCTCATAATTCGTCTCTTCACTGCAATCGTCTGTTTGATATGAGGATCAACCTCATCTTGACACATGGTAGAACATCTTGTATCGTTAGACCAACTGTATTGTCTCGGAAGCAACATGTTAAATACTTCAGAAGCCTCATGGGCAAATTTCCTATTTGAAACTAATATCACAGAGACATCTTCTTCAGAGGCAATGCTACAACAACCAGAAGAAAGCTGAACAGTATCATCATTGATAGTAGTAGAGCCAATAGCAAAACTGGACATGTCAACATCAGTGGAAGAAGTAGCCGTTTTAATAGAAGGTATATCCACTGTATCTTGTGATCTTTCAACACCTTCACCAGTAGCATCAACAGAAACTTTAGCTGGAACAGCATTATGAACAGCTCCCTCTGGTCTCTCAGCCACACAAGGAGCTCCTTGCTCGACAGGCCCAATTTGATAGGGACAGAGACTTCCTGCTTCAAACTTCAATGCTCTACGCTTGTTTTCAAGCAAATCAATTTCGGACTCAGTCAACTCTAGGACCTTCAGAACATCAACTTTCCAGGCAAGCACCTTGTTCATTACATTCCATTGAATAGAGCAAGAATCCCCTGGACCAGAATCATCAGTACGAAGCAGCTCGCTAAGCAAACAACTCAAATTCTCCATTGAGATGTTCCCAGCATCCTCTAAATTAAATGGAATTCTCTCCAGCTGATAATTAAACACAGGACTAGGTGAACGGCATAGATTACTGGCATCACTAACGGCTTTAGCTGCCATGCAAGACGGTTTATCCCGCGTTCCTGCGGAAAAAAAACCCCCGAAAAGAAGCATTGAGAAGAAGAATGAAAATAATTATCGAATAAATAATATTCCCTTATACTACACAAGCAGGACAGAAATATGAGAAGAAAATGGGTTTTGAATCATGTTAGAACAAAATATTTTTGAAGTTGAACCTGAACCTACGATGTGATCCTATCTTCAGTTTCTTCCCAAGCAGAGACCATGGAAACAAAGAAGTTTTAAATTCAACTTCCGGATGATATGAGTCAACCAATAAAGGTTAACACAAATCAAGATACGACTCACAGTGCAAACCATGCACTTACATGGAAACAAATGGAGGACATACAAGACAGGGAACATGGAAAGCACAACTCAAGATCATTGAAAAAATCAATTACACACCAACAGCAATAATCTCCTAATTACAGCAATCAGAGAGAAATGGCAGAGTAAACACACAAAGGAGTAAATAAGAATATTGCATGGAAGAAAGACAGCAACAGCCCAGACACTTAACAGCAAAACTGAGAGGCAATGCACGAAATAAAATTGCTATCTACCTGGCGAGGAACTGCAAGCCACAGAGGATGGAGTTGCAGGGGAACCGAAATCAGAAGCGTTGACCATGGTAGGACTTTTACAAAGCAAAGAATATGCTTCTCCTGTACTGTTTGCCAACATCGTGTTTCCATCTTCACACAAGTTAACATCAACTTTCTTTTTTTCATATTTAGCCAGACCCTCACCCCATCCAAGCCGTGGCTTCTTTCTAGAGTTCGTCTCCTCAGGCAGACACGAAGATGTAAAATATGAGGCAGCATCTCTTGAGGTGGATTCGGTTACAGAAACAATTTTAGGCAGAACTTCAGTCTTCTGCTCAATGGTATCAACAGCTCCAAAGCTTTTTGAACTACTTGAGTGACTAAAACCAAAACCTCGAGATGCAAACCTTCCAGAATGAGTCCATAATGGATGCTTCCAGTTAATGGATCCAAGACAACTTTCCTTTCCAAGTTTCTCAACTATGTGTATTCCATTGACACCATGGACCTTGTCATCCTTCTGATCTTTGGAGAGAAGCTGCCCATGAGTCAACTGAAGGTCAACATGGAAATTCGAAGGACATAATGAAGTATTATCACCACGCACATCATGGCATTGTCTTCCGGAGGAACAAACCTCATTATCATGTTTGTCCAACAAGTACGACAACTCATACAAGCTCCCTGAAACAGAATGAGGATGTGAAGGTGATGCTAGCCTTTGATTTGAAAAATTCTGGTCCCAATTCCCTGTAGGTGTTTTCACTGGAGAGATTTCAATATTCTGCTGTGTGGGGTGGGCTAAAACCGAAAGCTTTGATATGGCAGTGCGAGAATCAGACGCATTAGAGGGCCTTTCATCTGCTGACAAACAATCATTATTCATATCTGGTAGTCTCCCGAGAATTCTAGTAGATCCGTTGTTCATTTCCCATGTATGGTGTTTCCATTCCTTCTGGTTGAAAGAAACTCTACCATCCCTGGTATTCTTGTTATATCTCCAATCTCCACGAGATGCAGAGGGTCGATAATTGTCATCTTCAAATATCCTGGTACTGGACCGAGAAGATACATGCCCATGATCAGTCTCACTAGCAAACTGGTGTCGTCCACCCTGCTTACCATGACCTTCAGATGATATTTAAAACAAAAAGGACGAAAGGAAATCATAAACAAAAAAGCAAGGCCCATATCCATCCAAATCTATGACATGTAAAACAAAAACCACTATGTTTCCACAACTTTGGGGCTCCTACTGCTGGCAAAACCAGGCCTCATAAAGTGATAAATGGAAGAGAAGTAAGAATTATAATATAATCAATCAGTCTTTGGACATTTTAAAATATTATACGAAGTGACCTTAAGCCTTTTTTTTTCCTGTTGTCTGACTCATGGGGAGAAAAAATAACTTCAATAAGAAAAAAATCAGAAACAAAGTCCTCACACATTTGAACCAATACGACTCAAAGCAGTCTCTCCCAGTTTAAAAGCTTTGTTACTCCCTTTCTTCCTATTTCCCCCCACTTAATTTCTTCGACTTCTACATATCGTTCTCACTAAAAGACCCTTAAATTCCATAAATTAGGTTCTAGAAATGTCAAATTCAGAGATTGAAGTCCTGCCTGTATAAGAAATATAGAGACTCCGCTCATTGGGTCCCAGAAAATTAACTGTGATTTCAGCCCTAATTCAAGAGAAAGCAACAACGTGAGAAATCATAGTATAACCTACAAAGATAATATGAAGAGATTGTCCATACCATGAGGCCTACGGACGTCTCCAGGATCCCAACGGGAAAACTCGCGTGGAACATGGTGAGAAGAAGAAACTGAGGACGAGTTCCTCCATCTGAAACTCGAATCAAAGGACTGTGCGAGCCGTTCGTGCTTCCTATGCCTCAAGAGGTCCTTCCGATCCCAAGAAGCGTGATCCTGCGGCATCAAATTATCCAACGCAATCGCGCACAGAGACGCAGAAACCCACTCCAGAACAGTGATCAGACCCAACTATGGCCGTCGTTGCTTCAGAAGAACCCACCAAAACCAGATGCGGACGACGACCAAAGAGAGCTAAACCAACGAATCGTCCGAAATAACGATATCCGAATCCTAGAGACACAGCGAACGCGAGAAAAGACAAACCAAAATTGAATTAAATCGAACGAAAGCAGTACTACATACTAGGGTTTCGTCAATCGAAGGTTGTCCGAGGCAAGAACTGACGAAACAAGAACGAATGAATCACAGAAGGTTGGGAGAACCAACCTGGTGGAAGAAGCTGACATGTGTAAGGCAGCGATGGCATACAATCTGAGAAAAATCCAACCGGAGCAGGAGATTACCGGCGATTTCTACTCGATTTCCCGGTCATAAAGTAGCTTCCATGGATAATTTTTATCGGGTTTTGTTGGGCTTTCTCTGCTCGGAGAAAATCCTCTGCGAGCGAATGTGAGAAAGACCGTGAGCGGACGGAAAAGAGGGAGAGATAAACACCATAACCTAACGATGCTAAAAACCTTATTTCACTTTTATTTTGGCGTCCGCGAATTAGAAAATTTCTCCCATGCTTTTTTTTTAAATGTTCAAACTTTTTTCTTGTTCTTTATTTTATTTTTATTTCCATTATATCAATTTGAATAAAGATGTCAGATGGATTAATTATTTGGATTGTTTAAATTAAATGGATTATATAGGTTTAATCCATTTAAAATTATAGATTAGATGGGTAAACCATTAAACCCATTTAAAATTATGAATACAAATCTTAATTACATAGATAATTTTTTCAACCTATTAATAAAATAAAAATCAAATTATTCAAATCAAATAATATATAATCGATTTTAATATAAATCAAATGTACAATATTTATTCAAAAATAAAAAAAATAAACATGGATAATATATAAAATTTTTGAAATACCCGAAAATTTCGTATAGAATAAGACTTTTATTAATAAGATGAAAAAATCGCCAAAAAAATATTTTATACTTTTAAGATGTCGATAAAAAAAATCTATACTTTTTATTAAAAAAAACCTTATACTTATATTTATTTGTCGAAATATACATATATTTTATAAAATCTAGTAAATAAGTCCCTAAACGCAAACGTAAAAAAAAATACGGTAAAAAATATGATGTAGCGTTATTTTAATAAATATATTGGATATTAGTTGATGATATATAGGTGGATAAATTGTTATATTCGGTTACGGTTAATTCAGATTCGGTTTATTCGGTTTACGGTTATTTCAGATTCGGTTATTTCGAATTTAAAATATTCATATCCAATCTGGTATATTATTTTAATCGGTTGATTCGATTCGGGTATACATCGGTCGGATTCGATTGGGGTATTTCGGATTCGATTATTTCGGATTTGAAATATTCATATCCAATCTGGTATATTTTTTTAATCGGTTCAATTCAGTTAGGGCATATACTGATTGGGTTCGGTTCGGTTACTTCGGAATTAAAATATTTATATCCAAACTGGTATATTATTTTAATCAGATCGATTAGGTTCGGGTATATATTGGTCGGGTTCGATTCGGTTTTTTCGGGTTCGGTTATTTCGGATTTAAAATATTAATATCCAATCTGATATATTTTTTGAATCGGTTTGACTCGGTTTAGATATATATCGGTCGGGTTCAGTTCAGTAATTTCTGTTTGTATTTGCGGCTCAATATATGCTTAGAAGACTTTGCATGTGTTTTATATTACATGGTTTAGATTTATTAATCAGTTTATTATGTGTTGCAGTTTTATGTCAGTTGTTTTTTAATGTATTAGTAGGTGAATAATTGTTTTTTCGCAGTTATATTTCGTGTCTTATATGTAACCCGCGCGCATCGCACGGACTATAAATTCGTATAATTTTTTTTAAAAAAATATTACTAATTTTAAAATTAAATATATCCTATTTTATTTTTTAATTTTAAATTTATATCTTAAATCAAATGATAAATAGTTTTTATAAATATTGAGATAATGACATCTTTTATTTTCGAAAAATGATTGTGAATAATGTCTATATTTAAATTTTGGGAAAAATCTTTGAAAATTTTTAAACTTGTAATTCGGAGGAAAACTAATTCTTGTACTTATAGCTATTATTCCTATTTATTCCCGAAGTTGAAAAATTGGACACAATAATTTTTAAATGTCATAATCGTGGTAACAATAATTTTGACCAAAATAATGTGTTGCACAATCCTACATGACGCGTGAATTGTCAAGACGCATCAAATTTTTATGCTATGTATGCAGAATTGGGTGTAATAGACACGGTTTAACAAAACCGATTAGTAATAGTGAAAATTCTGGTTCATCAGAAGATTTGTGATAACGACGGAGATCAAAATAATTATCATCATTGTCGGGTTTCGAGCTCTAGTCCAGATCGACGACACCTCTGCCGAAACAGGAACGTTTGGCGTCGAAGTAGCCATCATCAAGGCTAGATCACTTTCATCCTAGATTTTTCGGTGAAAACGGCGTCGTTCAAGGAAGAGACGCGACGACCGAAAATGTCATCGATGAACCATGAAGTATCTCCAAATTGTTACTTTTACTGAATCGGAATTTTTATTATTATGAACCGGTTTTGTTAAATCGTATCTATTAAACCCGGTTTTGTATACATGACATTAAAATCTGACGTGTCTTGACAATTCACGTGCCATGTAGGTTGTTCAACACATTATTTTTTGCCAAATTTAAGGTTAAGACGATTATGACACTCGATCTTTAGCAAATTTAGTAATTACCGTGTCCATTTTTTTAAGTTCAAAAATAAATAGGCATGCCTACAAGTTTAACCATTAGTTTTCTACTATATTGCAAGTTTAAGAATTCTTAGAGATTTTTTCTTTAATTTTTTGTGTGTTATAATATAAAATTAAGGGTTAGAACTCAATTTAGATAGCATAACCTGTGAAACGGAGACACAGAGCGCATGTCTCACCCCGAATTCGAGTGTCAAGTTGATTCACATGGTTTGCTCCCGACCCCTAATTAGTTTGGACTTCGGTACAGGACATCCTGTTATCCAAAAAAATAAAGGTTGGAGGAGTATTTTTAGAAAAGAATTTTCAAAAAAACTGAACTATTATTTTTTTAATGTTTAAAAAGGAGAAGAAAAAAAATCATATTGTTAAAACAAAATGAGATTTTTTTTAAAGTGTTAATATAATGAGATGATGTATTTTTTCAAAAGAGATTTGACACAACTTCTGTGTTTATATAACAAATATATTCACTCATATATATCGTACGAATTAAAATATAGATTTGAAATAATTTTATTAGTTTTAAAATTAAATATAATATATTTTATTTTAAAATTTATAAATTTAATTATTAAATTAAAACATAATTATTTTGAAAATATAGATAATGAGATGATGCATTTTTTTTAAAAAAATAGGTTGTGAATAATTTTTGTGTTTAGATTTTCGTGGGTTATAATATACAATTTTAATATAGTACAAAATGTATTAATCCACGTGTATTGACTGTTTAAGTATAGTCTAAATATCATATATATTTTTGTAAAGTATCGGGGGATTATTTAAAATAAATTTATAACATAACTTTTCTTTTATATTGATTAGAAATCCTCAACACACTCATCTAGATATCAAGTATTAATGATTGATAAGAAATAATCATTTTTGCATTAATTTCTCTCAATTACGACTTTATCTGTTGGAATAGAAAATGATTTAATTTTAAAAAATAAATATGTTTATTTTTTGCGAAACGAACTATATATATAAGCAAGGAGCGTATCTCGTGGATTAAATATATATGTGGGTTTTAAATAATTTTATTAATTAAATATAATATATTTTTAAAATTTTATAATTTATATTATTAAATCAAAATTATTATTTTTTTGCGAAAGTGTAGGGATAGCGGGATAACATATTTGTTTCGAGGATTGTGAATAGTTTACGCCTTTATATTTTATGAGTTCTATAATAGAACTCATGAATGGAATGTAGAGTATCAAATTAATGTTTTAATAAATTTTATTATTTGATAAAGAATTATCTTTTTGGCAAATCGAGTGTTTTCTAAAAAAATTGACTATCGTAAGTTTTAAAAGTGTAGTTTTAAACAATAAAATAAATTTAATTGGTATTAATAATGTAATAATAATGTATTCGATTTAATCAACAGTTCACAATAAAACAGTGCTATAATGCTAAATTTATATAATCTCATCGATATTTAATTTTTATAGATATCTATTTAATTCAATTAAAATCATAAAACACAACACTAATTATGTGAGTCTTTTATTTGTTTTATTATAGTTTAAATCATTATATTTTTTATAAGTTGATTTAATCACTTTTATTCTAAAAATTAAAAATCCAAGGAGATCTAGCGAACTACCAACTAAAGAATATATCATATTTATATATTTTATCCCAATTTGGTTTATCTGATACAATATCTCTCGTACCAAACTCTTCGATTATACGACTCTTGATTCTCCGTCATTCATTCCTTATCCACGACCTTGACTTCTATCGATCCATTTGGTGCAAATATATTGTTGTAGGGGGGGAAATGCGATCTTTTTTTTTCTTTGGAACTATGATCCCACTATAATTATTATTTCATTGTTATTCCTAAACAACTATTCAACATATAACAAAGAAAATTATTATAAAGTTTTGACACTTTCTATGAGTTGATGGATGAGTGTTTTATTCATTACATGTTTTTGCATACTTAAATATGTTATGAAATCCATGTATTGTTATGAACAGTACTAAACTCCCTAGTCGTATGTCATTGTGAGAATAATGATGTAATAAGACTAGTATGATGTGTGATTGATGATCATAGAGATGATCATAGGTATATTGGATACGATCACAATCATAGGTATTCGTTGGAGAACGGAATACTGGATTGACCCGCATGAGATTGTCACATGGATTTGCGTCATGACTTGAATCTCATATGACGGTTCCATGATTGGATCCTAAGACATGAGATATCTACGGAGTCCAACATGAGGAGTTGCGTACTTTGAATACGTCAAACGTCCAGCGTAACAGGAGGACTATAAAAGCGTGTATCAGGTACGAAACGAATCATGTGCTGGATTGTAGATAGTTAAGACGGGATTTGTACTCTTGTAAAAGAGAGAGATATCGCTGGACCCCTCGTGTGAGCGAGACTGTAGAAATGTGTGGTCGCACTATAGACAAACATCGTCTATTTCAGACAGTCGAACTCAGTGAACGAGAAAGCAGTCGAATCAGATAAGGTGGCTAGTCCATGCCTTATATTCGACATATGATATCGTGATACAAAAGGATCATCAACCGGAATCATCACTGGCGTTCGTAGGTGATAGATGTGATGCTCTAGGATGATCATACGATATGAGAACTATGTATGATACGATGTATTTATTGGATGAATGCATTATTTGTTCATTATTTATTTTGCATATTTG